TGTATCCCCTGCAGATAAGGGGCAGGGGGAATTACTGTATGTGAAATAATATATTGTTAATGTTTTCCCGTGAACTCCAGCATGGGAAAATAATATAAATATATGAACCAACAATAATGTAGATTATGAGGTAAATCTCTATAAATATTGAATTACAATCACATGTTCTTACTTTATAGAAGAAAATAGTAAATCTACAGAAGTAAAGGGGTGGGAGACATATGTTAAGTACTTCTCTCGGGTCAGGAAATAGGTATTTTGCATACATTATCTCATGTAATCCTCACAAAAGCCCTGAGTTGGGCTTTAATATCAACATTTTATAGGTGGGCATATGGAAGCTCCAAAGATTAAGTAACCTACCCAGTCATACAGTGTTAGAGTTGGGGTTCGGACTCCAAAACCTAAGATGCAGGAGCGGATTACCTCCTCCATCCTATCAAAAATAAAAAGGCCAGGTAGGTGGAGGAGCCTCTTAGTTCCACTTAATTTTTTCAATTTATCATGGGTACTAAAACTAATGCAATCGTTTAGGTCCAGTTCCCAAAGCTGCTTTCACCAGTAACTCTGATGGTCACCTGGTATCTCTACCAATCACTACGAAGGCATCTTGTTGCAGATTCACGGCTGCTTTCACACTGATGTCCATCAACATTCTCGGCATCTCGTGTTCCTCAGCATTTGCCAAACAGGTAGCATGTTCCTCCCAGGACGGTGCCAACATTTCACCCAAAGGATCAACCAACTTTACCCCATTGTCTTCCTTAAAAGAAAAGCGAACAATAAGCCATCTGTGCATATTCACAAGGGTGAGTTGAGGAAGTAAACTCAAGCTGTTTTCCCCTAAAAAAGACACTGATGGCTGAGTGGCTTTACCTGTGACCGTATGGAATGCCAGGCACTGGACTAGGTGTTTTATATAAATCCTCATAACAAACATCAATCCTACTAATAATCCTATTTTTATTCCAATCTTACTTTGAAAAAAAACAGATTCATAGCAAGTAATCTGCTTATGTTCACACAGTGTCAGTGCTGGTATTAAAACATCAAGTCTACATGACTCTTAAACCCACCAGCCACTATGCTACACTAGTTTTTTAAAAAGGCTGTCATCTGTGCATTCACCATCAATTACATGACCAGGGCACAAATGGAGTAGAATGAAGGCACCGAGAGATCCTCCTCACTATGACTCTGGACTCTTTAAGAACATACTGGCCAATATATCAACCAGCGGGTGACAAAAGCTGAAAACTGACTCCCAATTCTGTTCTGCTCAAATTTTGGGGAAGAAATAAAGTGTAGTTCAGAGTGAATGTCAACTGAAGGAAACAGTTCAGTATTGTTTTAAGAAGTACTTCTAGAACTAGCAATAAATATAGGCTTCAGCCCACAAGTCATTAATTGTGGTGATTTAGACATTCAGACACTTACACATTTATAATGATCCACATTTACAAGCTGGACAAGCTATGTCCTCTTGTGTGGGGGGAAGAGGAGGTTATAATCCTTCACAGACTTACACAGCTTTAACTTGCTGCTAATTTAGCTACAAAGGCAAAAGTCTCACGCTCTTGCAATCAAACAGAGGCATGTTATTCAAACCACATATTAGTGAGCTATAGGCAATACATAATAAAACAGTTAAACTGCGTCAAAAAGAATACTTTGCTTAAAAAAATTGGGGGCGCCTGGGTGGCTCAGTTGGTTGAGAGTCCAACTCTTGGTTTTGGCTCAGGTCATGATGTCAGGGTCATAGGATCAGGATCAAGCCCCACATCAGGCCCTGCGCTCAGCAGGGAGTCTGCCTGAGAGTCTCTCTCCCCCTCTCTCTGCCTCTCCCTGGCTCGCACACTCTCTCGCTCTAAAATAAATAAATATATCTTTAAAAAAAAGAAGTAATTCTCAAAACACTAGAATCATCAGGCCTCATCAATAATCTGCCCAAAGCTCACTTTTGTATATCTGGAGCCACCTGTTTGGCTGTTCATTCAGAACAGGAAACTCTTCCCTAATATTCCCTAACTACAGAAAACGGGTCTAGGGGTGGCTGGGTGGTTCAGTCAGTTAAGTGGCTGCCTTCGGCTCAGGTCACGATCTCAGGGTCCTGAGATCAAGGCCCACATCGGGCTCCCTGCTCAGTGCAGAGTCTGCTTCTCCCTCTCCCTCTGCTGCTCCCCCTGCTTGTGCTCTCTCGCTTGTGTGCTCTCTCTCTCTCAAATGAATAAAATCTTTAAAATAAAAAAGAAAAGAAAACAAGTCTAAAAAATTTTCAAAATGCACTAAATCTTTTCAAATGTTTGCCCTTCTCCCCACCTTGGCTCCAATCTCTCTAATCTCTACCAAATTAACACAAGTAATACTTTTTGTTACTTATTCTGTCTCAATACAACTAACTTGGAAGGACATTCTGTTATTTCTCTAATATGGACACAGTCCAAGAAATGACTCTCAATTTCATTCTCTCCACACCCTCTACAGTCATGAGCTAAATAACCACTCATCAAGAAAAAGCCATTTCAGGGGCGCCTGGGTGGCTCAGTCAGTTAAGTGTCTGACTCTTGATTTCAGCTCGGGTTGTGTGTAGTCTCAGGCTTGTGGGATCCAGCCTGGTGTCTGGCTCCACATTCAGTGATCAGTCTGCTTGGGATTCTCCCTCTCCCTCTGCCCCTTCCCTCACATGCACTCTCTAGTCTCTCTCTAAAATAAATTAATCTTTAAGAAAAAGTCATTTCAAATCCAAAGGCACATACCGAGTAGGCACATTCCTAGAATTAGAATTTGTACTTGGGGTCAAACTGCTCAGACACTAAGATGTGTTCTTGTAAATAAAGGTTTGCTTTATAAGAGCACTAAAGGCATTACCTCAGGATTGTGTGATGCCGTTACCATGACTCCTATTGTAGACTTTGTCTGTTTTGACCTCAGGACAGCTAATAATCCCATGCGAAACATGACATGATCAAGATGTTCTGCTTTCGTTCGAAAGCCAGCGGTCCCATATTGAAGAACGAGTCCATTGGGTTTGGCATGTAATGCTGAGTATTCTCTAATAGCATCTAAATCCATGTCTACAAAATTAAGGAATATTTTTCAAGCATAAGAAATCTTTCAAGGACCATTTGCTTCAAAAACTGCCACCTTAAACTAACAGGTCTGCCTCGTTCTGAACCCCAACAAAGAATGTTTGAGAAAGAAAAGAATGGTACAGGGGCGCCTGGGTGGCTCAGTCGTTAAGCATCTGCCTTCGGCTCAGGTCATGATCCCAGAGCCCTGGGATCGAGCCCCGCATCAGGCTCCCTGCTCGGCGGGAAGCCTTCTCCCTCTCCCACTCCCCCTGCTTGTGTTCCCTCTCTCGCTGTGTCTCTCTCTGTCAAATAAATAAATAAAATCTTTAAAAAAGAAAAGAAAAGAAAAGAATGGTACAATAAGTCCTGGTGGTAGGCATTACCTACAAGATCCTGCCCAACTTGCATCATCCACTCCAGGGCAGATGGCAGATTACCCCAACTCATCTCTCATTTTGGCTCCAGGGCTATTCCTGAACACAGGGTGAACTTAAAATGGTCCACTCTCAACTAAAATGAAGATTCCACACATAGATTCACAGACTGCTACACAATCAAAGATTACCTCATTTCACAAATGGAAAAACTTAAGCTTGGGCCTCAGTTAAATAACCTAAATTTACATGGGTAGCTGGTGACAGACTGGGGCCTAAGGTCATACTGTCAGATGGACTGGGACTACATATCCAAAATATCTGGGAAATCTGTTGGTTCTTTTGTTATTCCTCCCACACCACAGAGACATACACCCAAAGGAAAAGCAAAGGAGAACAGCCTCCTCTCTAAGACCGCCCAGACCTCCTAATATATCTTGCAGTGGATTTTTCTATTTTCATAAGGGAGGATCAGGACACCCTTCTAAATTAAGCTCTGAAAGTAACATCTTTTTACCTGTAACTGGGCCCCTAGCCCACTAGTACTTCCTTCTCTGGGATACTCCAATTTTAAGTGGAACTTGGGGTTTCCAACCTCAGTTGTATGTACTGTTTATTCAATTCTTGGGTCAGTCCCATTCCCAATTAGCCCAGAGATGAGCAGCAGTCCTATCTTGTTTTCTTCATTTTCTTTCATTGCTTCAATGAACAAAAGTTAAAGGAAATGGTGAAAAATTTTTGCTTTTGTCCAGCTAGAAAAAACTGGTATTCAGCAAGCTAATTTAGTTTGGTCCAAAGTGATCAAATCTCTTTCACAAGCATGAATACACTTTGTTAAAAACTGACCATTCGGTAATATATCATGATTATTCATAAGGGCGTAAACCAGTGGTGTTAAATCCAGAAAATCTTTTAAAAAAGGAAAAATGCTTCCACCCTTCAAAGCGTTTTCGGTCCTAAACCTACGTTCAATGAGTGGGCGAACGCTTTTATTCAAAGCTTACAAGCCCAGACAGTGACCACTCTAAAAAAGTTGAGAGCATCCCCCTTCCCTCCATTCAATTATCAACCGCTTGCTTGTTCCGCTTTCTTTCCAGGCCCCAAATGGCCGCACGTTTCCCGGCTCTCAACCCTGAGCCACCACCCCCCGCTCCAGGCCTCTGGACCAGAACACCCAGCATGAGACCCTCGGGCCCGCTCTGAAGGCGCAGGGGCGGGTGTGTTCCGCGCGCGGTCCGTGGGTCAGTCCGCTAGCCTACCCGCAGCCCATCGGTAGGCCGAACCCCTACGGACTGGAGAGTCCCATTCCCGTCGCCAAGCCTAAGGGCCCCACTCACCTCCGCCGGAGATTACCCCTCACCTCCACCTCACAGCGCAGCTACCCCGCGGCGGCTCCTCCTGCCTGACTGAAGCTCTCCGAACCTGCAGACGTGGCGCTGCGTGACTTCCGGCCCATCGCCACGCCCCCCAGCCAATCACGGAGGGGGGAGGATCCGCTGGCCCCGCCTCGCCTCCTTGCGGATCATGCGCAGCTCGCGCCTGCAGAACTGCGGATCCCGGTTCTGAGAGGGCTTGGGGCTGTTTCCTTTGAATGACCGGGAAGGGTGAGGCCCCCCGCGGTGGCCCGGGGGTTGGGGCCTAGGGTCGTGGGCCATCAGAGTACTGCCACCGGCAAAAACGCAGTCCCCGCCTCCAAATTTGGGTCTCAGAGGGTGGCAGTCTTGCGTTCCTGGGAAGCCAGGGTTCCTAATGATCCCAGATGGGGGGTACCAACCCTGATTTGGGGCCTCTGACAAGGTGGCCTCGGCCATCTCCCCTTTTCCCGCATCCCCTTCTAGATCCTCGAGGTTCATCTCCCCAAACTTTGACTCCGGGAGCCTTCTCGAGCCGCTACTCACACCCCATCTCTCCGCACCAGCTTGCACTAAACATCATTTTATTAATGTACCTGTAAGACTCCCCGTTAGCCTGGGCCCCTCCACACACAGGCCAGATGGACCCAAATCGTCCGGAGCTATCAGGATGCCATCCCGGGGTGATGTGGCTCCCGGTTGAGCCGTAAAGGCCCGCTCGGGAGGGGTCCTTGGCGCTGGGGCCGAGGAGCCGCCACTGGCGTTGCGGGCGGCGGGGCCCTCAAGACCCCGGAGCCAAGGGATGCGACCACAGCCTCGCCGGACTGCGGGCTTTCCTCGCCACAGGGCGCAGCTCCGCCCAAGCCCGAGACCCTAGTGGGATTGCAAGCTGGGCTCCTTGCCTTTCCCAGAATTCAGGCTTGCAGAGCATCTGCAGGTGTTTGCCAACCACCTGCAACGGAATAATTTGGAACACCTGTTGAAAGTCCAGATTCCCGGATTTAAATCGGAAGCGGGGCTGGGGGTGGGGAGATCACGGACTGGGAATCTGAATTTTAACGAGGTGTCTTGAGGGATATTGTGCATACTAAATTTGTGGGTTGGGAGATAAAGCGAAGAAAGAGTTTAAGTGTCCCGGTTTGTGCCCCTAGCTGTCGGTGCGTAGCGTTCCTGCAAAACTGCTTCCACGGAAAGGGACCTTCGGGAAATTTCTCTGGACACCGCTGAAATTAACAAACCTAGTGCCCCTGGGCCTTTCCAGTTTTCCTGGCAGGTGGATTTCGAGGCAACATGTCTTCTTCAATGAAAGAATGCCTGCAGCTTCAGCTGCTAGAGATGGAAATGCTGTTTTCTATGTTTCCTAACCAAGGAGAAGTAAAACTTGAAGATGTAAATGTCCTGACGAATATAAAGCGATATTTGGAAGGCACAAGGGAGGCGCTGCCGCCAAAAATCGAATTTGTGATTACCCTCCAGATTGAGGAGCCCAAGGTAAGTACCCTGAGTTGTTTTCATTGTTGCCGGGTGCCCGGTTTTTAGTGGAAACACTTGGAACGTGAGATTTCTGTCCAGGAAGCAAATAGAGAATATTCCAGATTCGTATATCCTTTACTTGTTTGAAAGTGAAATATGTAAAATATGGGATGCCCTGTAAATTGTCTTCAATAAATATCTTGAATTTTCCATAAATATGCACATCTTTTTTTTTTTTTGGAAAAAAATCTGTTTATAATTTTTTTTTATTCTTATGTTAATCCCCATACATTACATCATTAGTTTTAGATGAAGTGTTCCATGATTCATTGTTTGTGCATAACACCCAGTGCTCCATGCAGAATGTGCCCTCCTCAATACCCACCACCAGGCTAACCCATCCTCCCACCCCCCCTCCCCTCTAGAACCCTCAGTTTGTTTTTCAGAGTCCATCGTCTCTCATGGTTCGTCTACCCCTCCGATTTGCCCCGCTTCATTCTTCCCCTCCTGCTACGTTCTTCTTCTTCTTTTTTTTTTTTCTTAACATATATTGCATTATTTGTTTCAGAGGTACAGATCGGAGATTCAACAGTCTTGCACAATTCACAGCGCTTACCAGAGCACATACCCTCCCCAGTGTCTATCACCCAGTCACCCCATCCCTCCCACCCCACCCCCCACTCCAGCAACTCTCAGTTTGTTTCCTTATATCAGTGAGGTCATATGATACATGTCTTTCTCTGTTTGACTTATTTCACTCAACGTTAATACCCTCCAGTTCCATCCACGTCGTTGCAAATGGCAAGATCTCATTCCTTTTGATGGCTGCATAATATTCCATTGTATATAAAGAACATGCACATCTTTTTAACAAATATGTGTAGTGGTTTTTATTAAAAACATCTTGCAGTCTCATACTACCATTGTTATTCTGTTCACTCAACCAATTTTTTACCATTCCAGCTATTGTAGTATGTACTGCCTTGTACATGTATCGTGATTTTTACAAATCTAAGTATTGCCGTTAGCAAAACTGACTTGAGTGGATGCATGTTTCTTTGGTGGTACCATGACACAAAGCAAATACAGACAGGAAATCTAAATACTAAAAATGAATTTCCCTTCATCTTCTGATCCCTTGTCTCCAGCAACATGAGCATAGCATAGGTCACAAGTGGACTAGGCTTTTGAGAAGCCCTCCTCTAGTGATTTCCTGCTTATCCTTCAGCTGTCATTCCCTCACCGAAGAGCTCCTGGTTCCCAGACTGACTTCTGTCTCACTGGTTACACATTTCAGCGGAGCCCTGTACTTCTCATCATTGAAATTAAGTACTTGTGATGTGTAATTATTAGTTTAATGTCTGTCTCCTTCACTAGGCTCTAGTCTTCATGAATAGCAGAAATTGTGTCTAGCTTCCTCACTTCTTTATCCTAGCATGGGGTCCCTGACACATGGTGGGTGCTCAATAAATATTGGAATGCATGAATGCGTAAATGGAAGGAATAGTGTATGTGACATTCTCAGTACAGTCTCTGGCCCATAGCTGACACTTAATAGTAGCAACACTGTTATATTTATCAAAATCATGCCGTTGCCACTGATTAACTAGCTTAGGTGATTTTTATGGTACTTAAATCTATTTGATTTTCCTTTTAAGGTGAAAATTGATTTGCAAGTAACCATGCCTCACAGCTACCCCTATGCAGCATTGCAGCTATTTGGACGGTCGTCTGAGCTTGACAGACAACAGCAACTACTTCTCAACAAAGGTCTCACTTCTTATATAGGGACTTTTGATCCAGGTGAGCTCTGTGTATGTGCGGCAATCCAGTGGTTGCAGGACAATAGTGCCTCCTATTTCCTGAACAGAAAGCTTGTTTACGAACCATCTACACAAGCAAAGCCAGTCAAGAACACATTCCTCCGAATGTGGATCTACAGTCACCACATATATCAGCAGGACCTAAGAAAAAAGATTTTGGATGTTGGGAAAAGGTTAGACGTGACTGGATTTTGCATGACAGGAAAGCCGGGTATAATCTGTGTGGAGGGCTTCAAAGAGCACTGTGAGGAATTCTGGCACACAATTAGGTATCCCAACTGGAAACACATTTCCTGTAAGCATGCTGAAAGTGTCGAAACCGAAGGAAATGGAGAGGATCTGCGCCTTTTCCAGTCTTTTGAAGAATTACTCCTTGAGGCCCATGGTGACTATGGATTAAGGAATGACTATCACATGAATCTGGGCCAATTCTTAGAATTTCTGAAAAAACACAAAAGTGAGCATGTGTTCCAGATACTATTTGGTATTGAAAGTAAAAGTTCAGGCCCCTAGGAAGCTTAATTAAGAGGCCTATGCTTATAATTTCACTAAGGCAGTATTTCTGTTAATAAGACCAAAATAAAAGGGCCAGTGGCTGTTTAGTATCCTCTGTGAGACACCTAGCCCCCAAATTTTTACCTGGTAATGAAACACAAAGGCCTTTTAACTTTATAACAGTGCAATTGTGATGTAATCTCTATGTTCTTGTGTTAACTGAAAACTATTTAATTGTAAATTAATAAAAACAGTCAATTTAACCAGTGAAGCTGACTTGATTAAAGAGGAGTCCAAAACCCGTAATCAATACTGATAGTCAAATTGCAGCTCTGAACTCATAAGTAATATTCCTCTCTTTCATGATATTAGCACATGATGAAACAGCACATTTTCTTTCTTTTGTTATCGGAGAATGAATTCTCAGTCAAGCTTAAAGTGAGAAGAGTTGACTACATTTCTTACTTTAAGTCAAACCCTCTATTTCTAGTTTTTTCTTTTAGTAAAACTCAATCTTAAGTGCGGTGGCAGAGGAATCAGAACAATGAAGTCTCAAGAGTAATGAAGACGACATGTAACTCTATGTGTTGTTGGCTGTTTTCACCAGCTGATTAATGATACTAAGGATAAGGATACCAATATTCTTCGTTATACACACAAAAAAGATGCGGTTTCGTGCCTACAAAGGGTTCCACGAGTAATGTGTACTGGCAGCCTTCCCCTGTGCGCCAGGATGCATTGCTTTGTAGGGCGGGAGTGTTGAGGAGGACCACGATGGATGGCTCTGCTCCCATCACCTTGGGGGGAAAAAATCAAGCTCTGCGTTTTGGTGAGACTTTCACTGCCATCTCCTCTGAAAATTGCCGGCTTCACCAGCCTTTGTCAAAAATGAGAGTTTATTTTGATGACAGTGACTTCTTATTAACTAGCACCTGCCACACCTTTTCCTTTTCATTGCAAAGTAGCCACCGTCTCCAGGAATTTCTGGGAGTCCCACCTGTGTTAAGAGATGTCCTGCGCTGACTCTGCAATTTTCTCTGGTTTCCATGGTCTCTCTTTAACCACTACTGCCCTTTCTCAGGGAGCATTTCATTCTCCGGCTGGTCTCAGGCACCCCACTGATGCCCTGGTCCCACCAGGATGCCAAAAATGGATGCCGAGAGTTAGTACCTCAAGGGGAATGAGTGCCTCACTCCCTATGTTGTGATACATTCTCTTAGATGCCAAACATTGCTGCATGTGCCGGGGTGGCTTACAGAATTTTTGGTGAAATGGTACATTCTGGTTTTACTTTCTGTGTCTAGGATACAGACACATGTCCTTGAGCTAGGGCAAGGATATAATGCAACAGCAGACCCTGCACTAAGCTGACTGTCTTGACCTTGAGGCCTTGGAACTGGGTCTACTCTGCCCTGCCCACATACTCATAGCTCAGAATGAGTTTCTTTTCAGGGCACAACTGAGACCTTCAAACCAAGGCTCTCGTCATGGGCCTGCCCTGCCAGATGATCCAGCTTGCCCATTCATGCTTTAATCCTAGCCTTGGATGTGGCTGGGACCCAAGCAAGGGCCTTATACTTTACCTTTACCTATATACAAAAGGAATAAATAGGACTTACATTGCCAAAGACTCATTTCTCAATCTTTGTCCGGGACTGAAAACAATATAGTATAGGAGTCAGTATCCTACGTATTGTCCCCAAGACCATCAGTAAGTAGCATTCACAAGTTTTTAGGCCCTAAACAGATGTGACTGTTAATTTTTTTTTTCCATATTAGATGCCATCCACCTAATAATGTGCCTAAACTTCTCACAGAGGATTTTTTTTCTATGATTAAATTAGCAGAAGTAGTGATGGAAAGATAAAGAAGCTTAAAGAAGTATAATATAGGATAAAAAATTACATAATTCACTAAATGAAAGGAATAACTTATGAACTCTTTACTGCTTCTGGAGCTATTTCTGGTGGTAATTTTTCAGAACCTATTTTTACATGCTTGATGTTACCATGCAGCAATACTTTTTTTCCTATCAGAAACACTAATAATAGACATTAATTATGGGAGAAGTATAGGTTTTATAGGAAAAAATAGACATATATGATAATTCAAAGCTTAGCTTTGTATGTATAGTAGACTGCTAATTTTCTCTGCCCAGCCTGATAGGAGCACAGACCACCCTCCTCCTCTAGCACCTCCCATCCCCCTCCACCCCGCCGGCCACACACACACACAGAGACACACATACAACACTTACTCTGAGGAACCGCCCTTTCTCTGTATGGTTTGGGAGAAGTAATTGGGAGCCTTCTAGAGAGATGGTTTTGAGCTCTTGCTGCTTAAATCCATAGTGCCACCCTCATTTCTGGCCTACTGAATGTTCAGTTGTTCAACACTTCTTTTGAGCTACCCAACATCTGCCCTTTTTTTCTTGAAAGTCAGAATCAGTCTGAATCGCTTGGAATTTAAGAATCATGATATTGTATACTTTATATTTTTAAATGGTTATTTGGAAAGAATGCTCTTTATAAATATTGCAGTGTCTTTTTAAAACTTACTGATTAAATCAACCTTTCTTCATGTATGTTCTCTGCCTCTCATTCCTTACTGGTCTGTCTTGGGCTAAAGGCTGAGGATATTTGCATAGTGGATTAAGGAGTGGACCAGATGAGTTGACAGACATAATACAAGGACCTCTAAAACATCCCTATATTAAATCAGAAGTATGTTGCCTATGAATTTGAGTTTCCATATATGACTGTTTAACATGCCAACCATCCCTTCAGAGAACTTGTGAAGGCCTGAGGGAGCCTACTTGAGGTCTTCACAGAACCCTTTTGAACAGAACAATTTTCTTTCATTTGCTTTATCTTATGTAGCCCAGTAGTAAGTTGAAAGAATAGGTATTTTCTGAAGATGACATGGTTTGTTCAAAAATCCTTGTCTTATACAGAATCCTGATTTGCCTCAAAATTCTGAGCCCACTGGGTCTCCCTCATAAGGTCTACATGGTAGAACTACTTTCCCTGCAGCCTGGGCCAGCTAAAGCAGCCTTTTTCTGGGCCCAGTTAAAGCTAGAAGCATTTGGATCAACCCATAAATCAGTTGAGCAGTGGACACAAATTTCAAAGAAGCTCAGCAAATAGTGAGGGGCCTTCTCAGTCATAGATGGAACAAAGTACACAATTAGTTATTCCCTAAGGAGGTCACATCCTAACATGCATAAGACATTCGACCTCCACAAATTTGGCTGAGGTGGCAGACTCTTGTGCTTTCATGAGATCTTAGCAGGTATTCAGGAAATCTAATGATGCCTGTGCTCTAGGCCCAAGAATATAATGTCATCATCAGTTTGTTAGACCAGCGTGATACCCTGTCTAGCAGTGAGATGATCAAGGTCTGGTGTCAAGAATTATATTCTGGCATAGAGTCAGAGAGTTAATGGAACATTGAAAAAAGTCTGTAATATTGTTTATTGGTAGAACAAACTGCTTCGGTGGCCCTCTACTTAATGGAATATAGGGAAAAGAAAAAAGCCTTGGCCTATCAGTAGCTACAAGAAAGATAACCTGTCTGTCAGCTACAGTTGGAATCACCATTTGATTATGTTAATATGATCCAAAGATCATATTGAGTCAAGATGTGATAAGAATCACACCCCTGTTTCTTTTAAAGCTTTTGATGGTGAGACTTACCGCTGCAAATCATTGGATAGTTCCAGTCAGAATAACCCTTTTGTGTGTGTGATTAGGAATCCAAAGTGGTGATAGATGATGAGGAAATTAATTCTAACTCTTCACTGAGAAAATGACTAGACGATGGATTTGTTCCTATATAAACTTAGTCCTAAGCATACACTTAGTCCCATAGACCACAATAATTTCTGAGACCCTAGAAATTTGTATTTGTTCAGAGCTCTTGTTGCCAGGTGATTTCCAAAAGGACTAGTGGTTTCCTTTCTGCAATGTATTGTTATTCTAGTAAATGGAACCTCAAAGGAAGATTTTGGATATTACAGAGTTCATCACCTTAGGGTCTTTCATTCATATCTATGCATGGCAATTTGTTGAAGGCCTTGACACCCTATGTTGGTGGCTCTAGTCAGGTTTTTCTGCTGCTGTTGTTATTCATAGCAAGTAAGGCCTACATTGGGTTGCCCACCTGTTTGGTCCTAAGCCCAGCTGATATTTAGCTGATATACACTGGTGTGTTTGTACCAGTTGTATACACTGGCACTCGTTTTTCTTGGTCAATAACTGTGCTATCCTAGTTGTTAGATTTTTCAACGTCATTTCAGGCTATGAGACCCAGTGATTTACTGGCCACCACCAAAGATTTCAGTAGGCCAAACTATGCCAATTACAGTGGACCAGCTTCCTTTTATAACTCTTTCCACTGTGTCTCCATTTGGAAGCACTGCTATTCAGCCTCTATCAACCCTAAGATTCTGATATCTCCATTAAAATAGGGAGCCCATTAAAAAAATAAAATAAAAAATAAATTAATAAAATAGGGACCCCATTTTAACCACGGCATTTCCCACAAGTCTCCCAGAGTTATTAAAATGTCCTCAATTTAAAAAAACTCCTCAATAAAATGCTGATTCCATTAATACATTAAAAGGGTCATATACCATGAACAAGTGGGATATATTCGAGGGATGCAAGGATGGTTCAACATCAGCAAATCAGTCAATGTGATACATTACATTAACAAAATTAAGGAAAAAATCATATGATCATCTCAATAGATGCAGCATTTGACAAAATTCAATATCCATTTATAATAAAAACTCTGAACAAAGTGTTTACAGAGGGCATAAAAAAAGCCACATATTATAAGCCCATAGCTAATATTATACTCAATGGTAAAAAGCTGAAAACTCTTCCTCTCAATCAGGAACAAGGCAAAAATGCCCATTCTGACCACTATGTTATTCAACATAGTATTGGAAGTCCTAGCTAGAGCAATTAGGCAAGAAAAAAAAATAAGAGGCATCCAAATTGGAAAGAGAAAACTGTCTCTATTTGCAGATGACATGATACCATATAAATAGAAAACCTTAAAGACTCTACCAAAAATCTTGTTAGAACTAATAAATGAATTCAGTAAAGTTGCAGGATACAAAATCAATATACGAAATCTGTTGCATTTCCATACACTAATAACAAACTATCATAAAGAAAAATTAAGAAAACAATCCCATTTACAATTTCACCAAAAAAAAACAACCCTAGAAATAATTTTAACCAAAGAAATTAAAGATCTGGGGTGCCTGGGTGGCTCAGTTGGTTAAGCGACTGCCTTCGGCTCAGGTCATGATCCTGGAGTCCCGGGATCGAGTCCCGCATCGGGCTCCCTGCTCAGCGGGGAGTCTGCTTCTCCCTCTGACCTCCCCCCTCTCATGTGCTCTCTCTCATTCTCTCTCTCAAATAAATAAATAAAATCTTTAAAAAAAAAGAAATTAAAGATCTGTACACTGAAAATTATAAGACATTAATGAAAGAAATTGAAGACAACAAAAATAAGTGAAAGGTATTCCATGCTCATAGACTGGAAGAATTAATATTGTTTAAATGTCCATACTGCCTAAAGCAATCTACAGATTCAATGCAATCCCTATCAAAATTCCAATGGCATTTTTCACAGAAACAAAAAATAATCCTAAAATTTGCACAGAACCACAAAAGAACCCAAATAGTCAAAGCAATCTTGAGAAAAAAAGAACAAAGCTGGAAGCATCATACTCCCTGATTTCAAATTATATCACAAAGCCATAATGATCAAATAGTATGGCACTGGCATAAAAACACATATAGATCAATGGAACAAAATAGAAAGCCCAGAAATAAACCCACGCATATATGGTCAATTAATTTACAACAAAGGAGTCAAGAATATACAACAGGGAAAGGAGAGCCTTTCAATAATTTTGGAAAAACTGAACAGTCACAAGCAAAAGAATGAAACTCAGCCACTATCTTACACCATTCACAAAAACCAACTCAAATGGATTAAAGATTTGAATGAAAAACCTGAAACCATAAAAATCCTGGAAGAAACCATAGGTGGTAATAAGCACCTTGATGTCAGTTTTGGTGATGATTTTTTGGATTTAACACCAAAAGCAAAGACAAAAAAAAGTAAAAATAAACAACTGAGACTACATCAAAACTAAGAAACTTCCACACAAAGAAACCATCAACAAAATGAAAAGGCAACTTACTGAATGGGAGGAAATATTTGCAAATCACATATTTGATAAGAGGTTAATATCCAAAATATATAAAGAACTCATACAACTCAATAGAAAAAAAATCCAGTTAAAAAATAGAGAATCTGAATAGACATTTTTCCAAAGAAGACATACAGATACATGAAAACATGCTCCACATCACTCTCATCAAGGAAATGCAAATCAAAACCACAGTGAGATATTATGTCACACCTGGTAGAATGGTTATCATCGAAAAGAAGTAAGTGTTAGTGAGGCTGTGGAGAAAAGAGAACATTTGTGCACTCTTGGTGGGAATGCCAATTGGTATAACCACTATGGAAAACATATGGAGATTCCTCAAAAAATTAAAAATAGAAATACCATATGATCCACAATTCCACTTTTGGGTATTTATCCAAAGAAAATGAAATTGCTAATTTGAAAAGGTATCTGCACATCTATGTTCACTGCAACATTATTTTCAACAACTAAGATATGGAAACAACCTATATGTCCAATAGCAGATGAATTGATAAAATGTATAATACTGTGTATATATTCATATATACATATATGTAGTTCAGTCATAAAAAAAAAATCTTGCCATTTGTGACAACATGGATGGACCTTATGGGCACTATGCTAAATGAAGTAAGTCAGAGAAAGACAAATACTGTGTGATTGCTCTTATATGAAGAATCTAAATAAATAGGGATGTTATGTACAGCATGGTGACTATAGTTAATAATGCTGTATTGCATATTTGAAAGTTGCTGAGAGTAAATCTTAACAGTTCTCATCACAAGAAAAAAAATTACTGATGGATGTTAACTGGACTTACTGTGGTGATCATTTTGCATTAATATATACAAATATCTAATCATGTTGTGTATGTGAAACTAATATAATGTTAATTATACCCCAATATTTTAAGAAAATGCTTTTCATGGATGCTGATATTCCCATCACCATTGTATTTCTCAAGGCTTTAGTGAAAGGAGGGTCAGTGATAGGTCTTCTTGGGAGACTTAGGAGATCACCAGGCTTAAAATGGTCTGACTGCACATGACAAATCCACTCCAACATTCCTATCATTGAAATCTTTGAATTCCTCTAACATTATTTCAAGGAATGCTTGCATTCTCGATATCATTTAATGTGGGCCATTATTAAGTGTACAGTTCAGCCAACTAAAAGTAGAACCAAAAGTAGAATGACTTTCAGCTACTCAAGGCAACACACTGAAT